ATTATTTTCTCCTGCTAACCTGTCTTGTTGATTATTTGGCCAGCCAGAAGAACCTTAAGGGAAAGGGCAGAGAGAGATTCTCCCTCTTCCCCCGACAGTTTAAACAAGAGAGCAGGGAAACGGCACCTCCCTGCTCAACTGGCATTCTCCAGGCAACCTCATCCACTCTCTAGCCCTGGTCGAATTTTCACTCAACTCCAGGCCTGTTTACTCAAAAGCCTACTAGACATTGTTGCCCGGATTCCCTACAGGCACTTCACATTCAGCATGACCCAAATGACCTTACCATATCTCTACCCAGCAGCCCTCAACCTCCTTGCGAGCCCTCAGCTAGTTCCTGACACACTTTGGGGCCATCACCATTCACCCAGTTGCCCAACCCTGAAATCTTAAGAGCAGCCTTGGCTACCACTTTCCCTCACCTTTACCATTAGTAAGGCAACAAGACTTGTAGCCGTCACCTCTCCCTTGGCTGAGCAAACAGTCTCCTAACTGGTCTCCTGCCCTGTCTTACTGTATACCCCCTGGCCTGATCCTCCACACAGCAGCTGGAGGGAATCTCCCTAGAAGTTATGTCTGGTCATCACACTCTCCTGTGTGAAAGCTCTCAGTGGCCCCTGGGGTCCTCAGAAGCTGGGTCACACTCCTCAGCCTAGGAGCAGGTGCCTGCCCAGTCCCCTCTCAACATTTCCTACCAAGCCACCAATTAACCCTTCCTTCACTGCAGTCACCCTGACTCCATATTTCCTTCATGGTGTGTCTGTGTGGCAAAATATTCCAGCTTCAACCTCATCTCACCTGTAAAGAAAACCTCTCCTGACACTACCCTCTACTCAAAAAGAAACCCCATCGCTTACTTCTTCACCTATGGGTTGCACTTCTTACACCCCCTCTTGCTGGATGGAATGCTGAGTGGTATAGGAAGCCACATGCTGTGGCAGGAAGTCCAAAGTTGTTTGCTCAGTATCTTTGGTCTGGGCCCTTACAGGGCCTGGGTCAAGGATGGGCAGAGGGGTCAAGGACGAGTTGGATATTCTTAAATAAGAAAATGTCTTATCTAATAGGTAAGCCTGGCCTTAAAAATAGCCTCCTACCTAAATAATTATGGAACCTCTATGGTCTAAGAATCCCAGTATCGTGAGGGTAGATGGACATTTTTATTTTATCCCTGCAAAAGGAGCCAAAGATACCATCTCCTGTCTCCTGGGGCAGTGAGGATCTCAGCTCTCCCCTTCTAGAATTTCTGTCCTGTGCGAGAAACCATTTGCTTGGATCTGCAGAAGTGGTAAGTGCTTTCATTTGCTCTCCCTGAAATCTCCGAGTAATACAAGCCTTCTGCGTTTTAACGATCTGTAGACATGTCTGTGCTGTATAGGGCATGCAGCATGGCAGGCCAGATGCTGTCAGGAGAGCCTTGACTTGAACACCTCACATGCACACCATACAGTTACCTCCAGTCACAGTCACACTTGCCCTCTCATTCATGAACACTGACACACACCAACACATGACCGATCACAATCCCTCTGCCACCCTCGCTGCCACTGTCACCCTCTCTAATACCTGCTCACTCATGCTCTCTTCCTCTCATCCTGACCTTCTCTCTCTCTCTGCTTCACCCTGTTGCACTCTCTCACTTTTTCTCTCTCTGTCATTCTCTGACACCACCATTTTATACACACAAACAGCCTTCACCCTACCTGGGACCCCCAACTGCAGTGCACCTATACTCTGGGAGACCTCCTTCCTGCTCTACAAGTCAGGAATTAGCCAGGGCTTCTTACCTCTGGTGACAGACACATGCTCCCATCGCAGGCCCCATCCCAGCTCCTTGCACCACAGGAAGCCCCTTGACACTGCTCCACGCCCAGGGAGTCACCATCCTAACCCCACTCATGACACAGAAACATGAATACCCAGGTGTACGATGTGCCAGGCACTGGCATGGACATGGGGTGAAAGAGGGTCCCACCTGGGTCATGGGCCCTGACAAAACTCTGGCTAGGGCAGGCAGGAGCCTGGCCCAGCACAGCACAGTCCTTACCTGCTGGCCTGGCTGTCCAGTTCCATAAACTGCTCAGGTCTTCTGTGGCTGCTCTGCAACTCGGAGGTGCTGGGGTCTGCAGGCTGTTGGATGGCTGCAGCTGGGTCTCCCTCGTCACTTCTCGGGGTTTTGGGCCTCTCCTGCCAGGCCTCTCCCACCTTGGCAGCCACAATCTTCTCCTCAGACCCAGCCAAGGCACTGAGGAAGAATGAGCACCCTTATGGAGTGAGTGCTGTGGGACCAGTCCTTGCTCATCCAGTACACACTGATGTCACCTTCTGTGGCTATAGCACGCTCCTTTTCTGGAGGGTGGGGCAGAGAGGAGCGTGGTATTGCCCCCATCTTGGGGAGAGTCTGTCTTCTCCTAGGGAGGGCTCCAGAACCGCTGCTCCCTTCCCTCTAGCAAAGGCAGTCCCCACATGTGCTAGATGAAGCCTGAGCCTCCAATGCTTTTGCCACACCCTGAATCCAACAAGGAGGGAATGGCTTCCCAGCTGTCCCAGGCCTTGAGCTCTTTGGGAAGTCTTCCTTCCTCCCTGGCCTGCCATCTCCATACCCACCCTGAGGTGCTTCTCACTGCTGGTGCCTCCTCCAGAACCTCTATCCTATGTGATGGTGATGGTGATGGCCTGGCAGCCTCAGGAAGCAAAGTTGTCATATGCCCACTAGGCCAGAAGCAAAGACTGAGTCAGGTTACTGACAGCATAAGCCCAGCCATTTTAATTCCAGAAAATGAAAATCTAGCTCATCATCTCCTTGATTCTGGCTCTTCCTGAACTCAACCCTCCCAGCATCAGCAGCCTGCCTCCAATTGCTGGTGGGTCTATCCCAGGACAAGAAGCCCACACCACCAGCTACCTCTATCCCTGGGACTCTTTATTCATGGAAGTTAATCCCATAGTAGTCAGTCTCCCTGCCTTCAAGCTGAAATAACAAGAGGAGCAATGACCAAACTTTTCGGAGAGTATGTCCTGAAAGCAATGTGATTCTTCAGGCTCAGGGGGAAGGAACCAAAATCCTGCAGCAGGGACAACAAGGCGATCACCGCCTCCAGCTGCATCTGGCAGATCTGCAGGCAAGGGGGTGCTGTGCCTCATTGTGCCACTTCTACCCTGATGGTCTGCTGCAGCCCAGCCAGATACCAAAAGTGGCCTGCTCAGATAATGCCAGCCCCATAGCCAGCAGGATGCCCCAATACACCCACCTCACTTCTGCCTGTGACATATATACTTGAGCTAAAGACAAACCTAGAAGAGCCCTGCGCTAGCTTTACCATGGACTTAATCAGAATCCTCTCCCATCCCATGTCCTCTATAGAATTACAGTAATAGAGGTTATCCTCACCAAGTTTGTGAATAAAGCCAAGATTCTCTGCAAAGAGCAATTTAGGGACCCACTGCAATACAGAGACAAGTGATTGAATAAGGCTCCTTCACTCTAGGCCTTAGAGCAGTCATTTCAATTATAGGAGGTGTAACCCATCAGACCTATCAAAAGGAAATCTTACTAAAACAGTCACAGGAAGCCTTGCTGACCAATTTAACATCCCAGACGTCTTCCAAGCTCCTAATGAATTGCCTGGAAGTCAAGTTTTCAGAGACAGGCAAGGTAACACTTCTGGCTGTAACTAGATCAAAGATCCAGTAGCATACTACAGCTACTTCCAATTTTCAACAAATCACACTCTCTACATGGAAGACAACACCCCCTTCCATTCTTGCACTACCTCAACTAGACTCCACTGGTTGACAATGGTTGTCCACAGCGAATAAATGTGCTTCAAGTTCACCTGTTCCTCGTGCAGACAGAACATAAACCCCCAAAGCCCAGACTTGCAACATAAGAAAGAGGAAAACAGCATATGTTTTAGATGTAAAGTCTAATAAAAGTTTAGTGGAGAGGGGATGACCTACTCTGTTATCTCACTAAATGAAATCATGCCAATAAAGCTAGTAAAGGGGAGCAGAGGCCAGCTTTGCAAGTGTCCTTGAATAGTTCTGGTGGGAGGAGGTATTCCTCTGGGGCGGCTTTATTTAGCTTGAGATTTTTATAAAAGAAGAGTTTCATATTTATATAGTACTTTGTGCTAGGAAATGTCCTACACGCATGTATACCATTATTCTACAGGTAAGGAAAATGAAAGCACACAGGAGATGAGTAAGACACCCAAGGCCACACAGCAAGTGGCAGAGCTTAGATTTGAACCCAAGTCCATGCTCTTAATCACCATACTATATACCACCTCTTCCTGTACGTGTGATGAAGGAAGAAAAAGTTAAAAGTAAGGCAGGGTTCCTCAAGTTTGGGACACTTCGACTGCTCTGCAGGATCTCCCGGCCCAGCCCCCACACCCTTCTTCACCCAACTCTTAGGAACTAAGCCCCTCTCCACGGAGCCCCAGAACCCGGACAGGCAGGTCCACCCGGGGGTCCCTCGCGGTTGGAGGGCTCGGTGTCCACAGGCCCTGCCCTCGGGCAGCTCTGAAGACCAGTGTCCAGACACGACTGAGGCCAGGGTACCCTGCCCAACAGGCTCGGGCCTCAGGAGCCCCTTTCGGCTCCTTGCGAGCACCCAGCTCCCTTCCTCTCTCCCGCCTGCGTCTGGACTATGGCGATGGTCCGAACGCGGTCACGGGACCTGCTTCACCCCAAGGCCAGTGGGCCCAGCCCAGCAGGGGAAGGACAGCAGGAGCCCGGAGCGGCCAGAAATGAGCAGCCTGGCCCATTTGTGATCCTCGAACGCCATCTGGCGGCCGGCGCGGGCACGGCCGCAGGAGAAGAGGCGCTGAGGCCCCGCTCACGCGGATCAGCCATTTCGTTCTGTAAACGGTCGCATTTCCCGACACGCACTGCGACCCCAGCTCGCGGCTGCAGGAAATGGCGGCGCGCGCAGGCGCACACACGCCGGACGCAAGTGCGCACGAGCCCGGGGTACGCACACGCAGGCGCATACAGGCCGGTCTCACACCCGACTAGGCGCAAACGCGGCGAGGTGCGCGCGAGTTGGGGGTGCACTGGAGCAGGCGCACGCGCACGCGCACATGTTCTGCGCCAGATGCCCAGATCCCTGGAAGACAAATGGAATCTGTCCTACCCCTCTTTCTTCCCAATCCAGAGTCTCCTGGCTCCCCACGGAGATCGTGAAAGATCCAGCACAGGGTTTGTCAACCTCGCCCTTCATGCCATTTTGGACTGCATAACTCTGTGTTGGGGGCTTGTCCTGTGCAGTGTAGGACCTTGGGCAGCATCCCTGGTCTCCACCATTTGCCGGTAGCACCCTCCTCCCAGTTGTGACAATCAACAGTGTTTCCAGACATTGCCAAGTGACTCCTAGGGCGTGAGGAGATGGGAGAGATGCCCCTGGTTCAGAACCACTACCCTAGAACAATGGTTACCAACCTAGACTGGACATGAGAATAAACTGGGAGTTTAAAAAAAGACATTGATAGTGGAGGCTCACCCCAGAACAATTAAATATAAATCTCTGCGTGGGGCTCAAGAAGCTTTTTTTTTTTTTTAACACTTCTCCAGGTGATTCTCAAGTGCAGCCAGATGACAGTGAAACACTGTGATCAAGAAGGTTTGTATTGATTTTGCAATTTTTTTTTTTTTAGTGAGGAAGATTAGCCCTGAGCTAACATCTGTTGCCAATTTTCCTCTTTTTCCTGAGGAAGATTGGCCCTGAGCTAACATCTGAGCCCATCTTCCTCTATTTTTTTTTTTATATGTGGGACGCTGCCGCAGCACATAGATAAGCGGTGTGCACGTCTGCGCCCGGGATCCAAACCCGCAAACCCTGGGCTGCTAAAGCAGAACATGCGAACTTAACCACTACGCCACCCAGCCAGCCCCGATTTTGCAAACTTTTAAACATCTGAGGAAAGTAGTTCTAAGCCTGGGCTTTAGGGTTTGCCAGATCTGGGCTCTATTCCTAGCTCTTCTCCTCACAGGAGCCCTCCAGTTTCCTCTACTGTCAAATTGAATAATAAGCCAAATCGTTCCCCAGGTTTCAGGAATATTAGATGAGATCACGGAGACAGCATGCTTTACACGTTAACCAGCTGAGTTACTGGTTCTGGGTCTTGAGAATAGGCTCCAAAGGACAAATTTCATAAACTAGCTTTTTAAAGTTTTTCTTAGAACCTCTTGTGTCTGGACTCAGTTCTGCCACTTGTAAGCCCTTGGACAAGTCACTTAACCTTTCTATGCCTCAGTTTCCCCATCTTATCCATTTCACAGAGTTGCTGGGAAGATTGTAGAGCACCTAGCAGAGTGCACTATAGGTGTCAGTTGTTTTCACTCTGTTAAAATTGTCAGTACAATTTGAAACAAAAAAGTCCATTGCCCACCCCAACCTTCCGCAGCCCAGTTTAAGTGCATTTCACATTTCACAAATGTGAAAAAGTAGCTGCAATGTGGTGTGAAAATACAAAAATGCACTCACCTTTTAAACACCTCAATCAGACCATGTTCCTCTTTGGCTTAAAACTTGAAATAAGATTCAACGTCCTTATCATGGCTTACCAAGGCCCTCCTCCATCTCTGGTCCCCCTCACCAGCTAGGCTCCAACCATTCTATCCTTTGGAACATGCTAAGCGCATTCCCACCACAGGGCTTTTAGGTTTGCTGTTTCCTACCTGCAACCTTTTCCTCCTTGCTCTTCCTAGAGTTGGTTCCTTCTCCTTAGGGGAACTTGCCTGAGTCGCCCACCTCCACCCATCTAAGTAGTAGCCCTCCTCACTGCCATCACTCTCTATCTCAGAACCCTGCCTATTTCTTTCAGAGCACTGTTCTTTCCAGGAGGCACAGAGACCTGGGTCCCCGGCCTTTGTTCTTCACTGTAATTAGGTGAAAACCTCACAGGAGCGTGGGGAGGGCTGTATGAGACACTGAGTATAAGGCTGTGCACACAGTAGATGCCCCAAAGCTAAGTAGCTGTTGTGATCATTAACAATATGTCGTGTTAAAGGCCAATCAGTCCCTGCCTACGTTGACAAGCCTCCTGTTCCACCACTTCCCCACAAGGACCCTCAGGAAACACCAGGTTGTTTGGAGTCCTTTGTATATCCTATTGCTTTTGCTTGGAGGACTCCTATTCACCTTTCAAGATTCGGCTCAAAAGCCACCTGCCCCACAAAGCTGTCCTGGATACCCGCTTCCCCTGCCCTAGCAATGATGGGATGTTCCAGTCTGGGTGGGGCATTGCCCCCCATCAGCCACGTCTGATTTGTGTATTCCAGCCCGCAGCACAGGACAGGTGCCGTCCAAGTGGTTGCTGACTGAAAGAGAGGATGCCTTCCTGATTATGGAGGACTTCCTGGCTGGAGGCAACAAGGAGTAGTGGAAGGCTCCATGGCTCCAGAGGCAGAGGCCAGAGGGTTCAAAATGGGGCTTTGTCCCTTTCCATGTGCCTCAGGCCAGCTCACAGGCCTCGCTGGCCTCACCTTCCCAGCCAAAGGCTAATGCACACCTCAGCTGCCTCTCTCTACTGCAGAAGCTCAGCAGCTTCTGGCTGATGCCTTACCCCTTTGGGTCTGCTTTCATGTCCTCCAGGTCTGCTGGGCTGTCACTCTTCCTGTCAGCCAGGACAGCAGAGGCCAAAGTGGCACCAGAGCTGAGGGAGGAACCACACATGTCCACTGAGGCCTCAGACCTAAGGAGACTGGGGTCCTACACCTTCCCCCTCCCAGCTGCCTTCTCGCAGGAAAGGGAGACCTACGTCTGTCAGTAAAGTTTGGCCTCTCAGTCCTACCATTAGTGTGGCACAGATGCCACTGTGTGTGATAACATCTTGTGAGCCCTGGCTGTGTCCTTAGCACACTGAGCTCAAGACCAAGCACTGGCCCTGACCAGCTCAGGGTCCCTAGAGAAGTCTCCTGGTTTGGGGTTCTAATACCCTTGCTTGACCTCTACCTCCTGAGGCTCAGTGGGAGTCCAGAAAGATCATTCCTTACTACACGCTCCACACACTCACAGCAAAATGGCCCTCCCACTGCATCTTTGTGCCCCTGGAGACATGTGCCCTCCCCATCTGCCTCCACTTGCTCCCTGGGACTGAGCCCTCTAGTGCCAACTGGCTGTCCCTGGGATTCCTCCCCCTAGCTCCTGCTTGTTGGGCTGGGCTGCAGTGGCTACAAGAGAGGTTCACTGAGATCTCCTGGCAGGGTGTCTTCCCAAGCTCTGACTCCTGATGCCCTCCCCCCTGCCACCTCAGCTTGAGTCCTTGTGGATAGGTGCTGGGCTGTCTGGGTCCCCTGACTTATCACCTGTTCCCCCTCCCCCTCTTCCCCTCCCAGCCTTCCCTCTCCTGCAGTGATCAGCTGATGTGAAGGTGGCATGGAGCTGAGAAGTGCGAGGGGGATCCTGGGGCGCTGGAGCCAAGGCTGAACCCTGAATGCTGTCTGGTAATGGCATTGGTCACCCGGCAGTCACCCCACCCTTACCTGGTGGCTGCTGGTCCAGGCTTGCAAAGCTGAGAGTTGGCACCATGCACGTTCTGATCATCCGGGAGAGGGGTGAAGCCAGCAGCTGAGCATAGCCTGTGGAAGGAGGCGAAGCCTGGTCTGGGTTCAGGAACTTGTGTCTGTATGTCTACTCCTTCACAAGAGGATGGTTTCTGTCCCTGACGGATGCTTGGGGCACAATATTCACTTATATCCCATGGCTGCCCAACACTGGGTCAGTGTGGTCTAGTGTTTAAGTGAATGCTCCCTGGAGGCACATTGCCCAGATTCAAATCACGGCTTTGCTACCTCCCAGCTGTGTGACCTTGGGCACATCACCTGACCTCTTTGGGCCTCAGTTTGATCATCATTGAAATGGGGGTGATAATTGTGTCTGCCTCACAAGCTTCCTGAGAAGAGCAAATGAGTTAATAGATGCCAAATACTTTTAATAATAATGATGATGATGATGATGATGATGATGATGATGCTTGTGCCCTAGTACCTGCTAAAGTGTTCCTGTTATTATTACTGGGCCCTGTGGCCCTTTGCCATCCATCTGTATCCATCAACTTGACACCAGTTGAGTTGGTGCTCTCTTACCCAGCCTTCCCAGGGGGAGGCCATATTCTCCATTTATGCCAGTTGTACTTGTAACCATAATCGCTAAATTCAATTATTAAGCAAACTCATGAAAATGAATGGAAAGTGGTTGTTTTTTCCAAGAGAAACAACCTTTTCTATGGAAAAACAATATAGGCAAGTTTCTCAAAAATCATTATCAAAATAGGTATAGATAAGACAACGTAAAAGGCTGAGTTAAAAATCATAAAAGCTAGAAGATTCTTCAGATTATTTTGCAAGTTAATTTGAGGTTTGACTTCACTATAAGAAACTGAAAGTGGAAAGCAAAGACTTCATTTTATGAGAGTGCATAGGCAAGAAGGATGATCTGGATGAATATTCAAAGATGAAGCAGTCAAGAGCCAGACCCAATCACATTGGACCAGAAGTCTTCCACAACAGCCACCAGCGAATTGAGTCAAGCTGCACGACTGTGCTGGCCAGCACTCAGTGATGCAGCCTGCAGGTGTTGGGCTCTCGCACAGTCCTCCCCTCTAGTGGCCTGTCCTCACACCTGCTGAGGCACAGCGGTGAGAGGCTGGGGCCTGCTGTCCCCTTCCTGTATTGGCTTGTGCTCCTGGATTTGGAAGTTGGGACTCTGGGTCCAGGCATCAGCTGCAAAGTACTAAACTGAGTGAGGGCAAGGGGCCCCCCATAGGCTTGGGGAAGCAGGGGAAGCTGGGAGGGCCAGTCGGGAAAGCTGTCAGCAGGGGTTCCTCCTTGGGATTCCTTCCTTGGCCAGACTGCTGGAGGGCAGAGATGCTGGGTGGCAGCATGTGCTCACGGGGCTCTGCAGACCCTGGCTTTGCCATTCCTCTCTGGCCATCTGCTCGGAACCATGAGGACTCTAGCACAGCTTAGAGTGGAACTATCTGTGCCAACATCTGCATGCCTAGCCTTTGTCCCCAAGGATGACTCATGCTTGGTTTGGAACCACTTGGGGACAGGTGGGACCTTGCCACTCCCAAATCACCTGAAAAAGTGGCCCCTGACTCCACCCAGATCCAGGAACTCAGAGCCTAGCTGGACACACTTATCTCCTAGCTTGTCTCACTGGGTCTGCTACCTTTCCTCTCACTGAACCTCAAAGCAGAGCTGGCCGGGGAGGAGGGTGAGGCAGGAAAAGGAGGTTTTGGGGCTTCTGGAAGGGAATGGAGAAAGCAGGGAAGAAGGACTTCCTTCTAGCTTGTCTTCAGATTTCAGCCAAGAAGAAGAAGGCACCAATTCATCCATCATTCGGTCATTCACTTGTTAGTTTGTTCCTTCATTCATTCCCCACACTTTCATCCTACCTGCCTGCAGCCCACTTGGGCGAGGGCTGGGCCTCCAGCTGTGAGTGGCCCTTTATGCCAGCTCTGGAGGAGCTGAGAGCCAATGGCATAGGGTAAGAGAAGGAGCAAGATTGAAGCATAGGTAATTCCCACAAGTGGAAAGCCCAGGGACAAGGATGTGGTGGGGGCAGAAGTACTGGAGATGGCAGAAGCAGTAGACAGGACTACAGGCAATGACCAGTGCTCTGCCCCCAGCAGCCCAAACAGTTTTGGCAGCTTGACCCTGGGCTGTCACCAGGGACATGAGAGAATCAACACCTTGGGGCCACCTGCCTCCCGCAAGCAGCTCACCCTCCTCTCCCAGAGCTGATATGTGCTCCAACCAAGCATTCAGGTGGGGAGCCCGAGGCTCCAGATCCCACATTTCCATCACTTGACTGTGAACTTGACCTGTTATGGGAAAAGAAGCATTTTCTGACTCTGATTGGGTTTTGATCTAATCTAACTTAGATGTCCTAAGAGCAGCCCTCAAGGACCAGAAGCCCAGGCCCTCAGCTGCCACCGAGCACTCCTCCGATTGGAGCCAAGCCAACATCAGCAAGTATTTTTGCTTTTCTTCCAAACCTGATGGGCTGGACTCAAGAGTGGAGCTAAGAAACAGAGCAAGGTGGCAACTCGGGAGGAGGTTGGCATGATGGGGGGCCAATGGCCAACAGAACAAGGGGCAAGGCATTTGGGGCCACTAATAAACCACAGAGCCCAGGGCAAGACAAGGCTTCCCCAGCCATCCTGGAGCCCTCTCCCTCATTCCCAGGGCTGAGTGCCAACTGGGGGTTGGGGCTCCACACTGAGAAGACAGTGGCAGGCAGACAAGGCTGTGAGCTCTTATCCATTACTGGCTGCCGGCTTCCCATTGAGGAAATGCCCAACTCTCAGCCACGGCTCACCACACCCTGGTGGCTGGGCACAACCATCCCATCTGGACTTATAATCCCCCACTATGGCTCCACCTCCTATCCTTGTGTCCCCTCCATGTTTCCCTTTGTACTCGGGTCATCCTGGAAGTCCCTGCTAGATGCTCTCCTGGGGCCCATGCATCCTTTGGTTGCTGACTTCCCCAAACTGCCAGCTTGGCAGCCTTGCCTGCCCTGGCCATGGGCAGAGCTGATTTCAATGGAGTAAAACCACAGTGAGGCTGGGCCAAGAGTTTTGTCCTCCTCTGCAACTGGCTCCCTGAGGGATATTGGCAGGAGCCTGTCCCTCTCCAGGCCTCATGCAGTCCTTCATTCATTCTTTCAACAGATATTCATTGAGGACGTGCACTGCCACAGGCACTGGGGACACAGCAGGGAATGGGACAGTCCTGGTCCCAGCTTTATCCATTGACCTTGGATCAGGGGCCACATGGCCACCATTTCCCTGCACTGAGTTACCTTTCAGGGTCTGGTTCAGGGCTCTTAAAGGCCTCCTCACCAGCCAAGTCTCTGTCGGGCTCTCTGGGGCTGAGGACCTCCTTATCTTTGGAGCCCGGGGAAGACCTATGGAGGAAAGAAACATAAGTTAATCACCCAGCAGCCACACACACTCAGGTGGGGGCACTTACCTCATCCCCAAATGCCAGATGTCTCCAAGGAGTTTAAAATCTGATATTGCAGGATTGGCCAGTTCTCAAAATCTCATGACTAATAGCTACTAACTAATTAGTATTAGCTAATGCTACTAATGGCTAATAACACTACTGTTGATTGAGGGTCAGACCCCATTCTCATGACTCTGCATGCATTAACTCTCCACATCAACCCCAGGACATGGGCACTGTTATTATCTATGCCCACTTTCCAGATGAGCAAACTGAGGCACAGAGAGCCCGAGTGACTTGCCCCAAGTTCCAGAGGTAACAAGGGGAAGAGCTGGGATTTGAACTCAAGCATTCTGGTTTCAGAGTTCTGGAATGTAATCCTCCGTGGCGTAAGACTGATCCTAATTTCCTAATTCAACCTCCCTCGGTTCTCTTAGGTCATCAGGGAGCCCCATGGTGTCAAACCCAATGGAGACACTCCCATGATTATTACCATTCAAGACCACTGACCCAGTGGGCCACTCCCGCATTCTCTCCCCGGTCCGTCCATCAAGACTCTGTGACACCACCTCCTATCTCCCTTGCCACACCTTCCCAGTCTCCTTCGCCTTTTTCTCCGCTTCTGCCTTTTAAATGTCAGTGTTCCCAGTGTTCTTCTCCATCTGCATGCTCCACCACCTTGGCCACCTCCTCTGCTTCCATGGCATCAACTGCCACACTCGAGCCAACGACCTCTGCTTGTTCCCACCTCTCCTCTGTGCTCCTGACCCATACCCCCATTGCCTCCTGGACTGGCCCTCAGGCAGCTCACACTCAACATGGCCAGAACTGACCACCCTCCCCCAGCTGCCCTCAGGGGGATGACCAGGCAGCTGACACCACTACACTGGGGTCTGTGCCCAGCTTGCCAGCCCCTCTCTCCTCAATTCCCTCAACATTGTACCCCATGTAAACATCAACATTGAGCCCCATTATTTCAGCTCTCATCTGTCTGCATATAACATGGAAATCTCTTGAGCCCTGACATCTCTCCCAAACCTCAACCACAAAACCTTTAAATGCCTCCTGGTAATTTGCACTTGGATGCCTACAAATAAACTCATCATATATTCATGTGAAAAATACTAAGTATTTATATCACCCTTCCCTGCCCCCTCCCTCCGGTCCTCACTAGTGTAGTGAGTTAGGGAACAAAAGGTGCAGAGTGGGAGTCAGGTAGCCTGGGTAGGAGTCCTGGATCTGCCTGCTCTTGGCTGTGCAATTTTAAGCAAGTTACTTAACCATTCAGGGTCTCAGTTTCCTCATCTGCAGAAGGGACCTTGTGGGTTTTGGAAGCAGGGGGACACAGCAGGGACCTTCCTCGGAGGCAGCCTGGCTTCCTCCAGCATCTCTCAGGTCACTTTGCCCCCGTTTCTCAGAGACTAGTCACCTTAAGGAAACCAACAAAGTAGCTTCCAATGTTGCCTTATTAAAGACACCGTCACACTGTATGATTCTCGATCATTCCAGCAACAAATGCTCCTGCACTCCTGTTCTGGGATAGGCCCTGTGCTGGAGCCCAAAAGGAATGTAGGGAACAGCTTAGCCACAGCCCCTGCCCTGCAGGCGCTCAGAGTTCTTGGGGCAGAGCAATCTATGAGTGGACAACTGTGACTCTGTGTGGATGATTCGCTGGTGGAGGTATGAACACAGCACTGTGTGAGCTCAGCCAGGAAAACCCCTCACAGATGGCTGCCTCAGAAAGAAATGCAGGAGAGAGAGGTGCCCCAGAGGGGATATATCTGAGGTGGGACTGAAAAATGCAGAAGGGAAAGGGCATCCCAGGCAGAGCCTACAGCCTGCACAGACGAATGGTACTGGGGGACAGATGGAGGCCCGGGAGGTTGGAGTGGAGGATCCAGGGAGGGAGGGTATATGAGGGGATCCCCGTGGGGAAGGGCTTTGCCAGGCAAGATGGCAAGTTCAGGCTGCAAAGCCTGAATGGGAGGGAGGGGGGGTCATTGCAGGGTTTTCCCCAGGGGGCTGGCATGACTACTTCTGCCGTTTAGAAATGTCACCCAGGTAGAGATGTGGAGGAGGGTTTGGGGACGGGGCAATAGGAGAAGGTTGCAGATAGCTGGGCGAGTGATGGTGGAGGTCCAGACCCGGGTGTGGTGTGGGGCGGGCAGTAGCAACAGAAATATCTCTAAAATACAATGGAAGGCTCAGTGCCTGACTAGGGCAGAGGTATAGAGAGGGAAGAGCCGAGGAGCAGAGTAAAGGAACCTAGAGATCCATCAGGACTCATCTTGGATGTAACTTCTTCCAGGAAGCCTTCCCAACCGTCCCAACCCCATGCTAGTGAGAGGCCCCTGCTCAGAGCTCCCACTGCCCCAAGGATTATCTTGGGCACACACTCTGGCTTCCCTCCCCCCACTATGGGCTTCACGAGGCAGGGTCCCAGTCTGGCTGCTTCACCGCTGCCTTGCAGGCCCTGGCACAGATGTCAGGTGTGCAGCAGGGGCTCAGTAAATGTTAGTTGAGTGAATAGCTAAATAAGCAGGAGATGGAGTGCTGCAGAAAAGCAGGGAGGCATTCCTCCCTCAGCCTGCCCTGCACAGATCTCCCTTTGCCCCAACCCCAGCTTCCCTGGGGCTCAGCTCCCAGACCCCCGAATCCTGCCTGCCTGTTACCTGGCTGTCTGCCCCCTACCTCAGGGCAGGGATTGGGCCTGCCGTGCTCCCTGCTGGTCACGGCCCCCCTGTCCCTCGCCCTACACGGCATCAGGACGATGGCACCGTGAGCTGTCGAGGCTGACCCAGTGACCTCACTCAGTTCCTGGTGGCCCTCTCACACAAGCAGGGCAACTGCCCCAGTAGCCTCAGGGGCCTCTGCAGACCCTGTGTCCCCACCCAGAACGGCTGTCTGGTCCCATCTTCAGAGCTCGGCTGGGCTGAACCATCACTTCCCAGGTGGTTCCTGGCACACTGCACTGTCAGCATCTCAGTCCTGGCCTCACTCGTGTCTGCATCTGCCTCCCTCACCAGGCAGACAGTCAGCAACTCCGGCCAGGGAGTTGTCACCACTGGGTCCTCAGGGCTGGGTCTGGCCTCACATGGATCAAGCGCTCGCTCCCCAAGAGTCGTAGAGTGAAAGAATAAGATAAGAGCAGAGAAACCAGGTCAACCATGTCTCCCACCCACCAGCTCCCAGCCTCATCATTTGCATCCCAGCCCTGCTGACCCGGCCTCTAGAATGGTGTGGAAGGAGCCCAGACAGCAGCAGGGCCCCCATACCTCATTTCTTCCAAGTCTGGGGCCACGAGGAAGAGTCCCCCCATAAAGCGTCATGATCTGCAGGCCAACAATCTCCTTGCCTCTTGTGCTGCAGCCAAAGGAGAGAGCCGGAGAGCTGCTGGAAAGGAAAGCCTCCCCCTTCCCCACCTGTGGGGATGGTCCAAGGGTGTTCTCCCTCAGGAGCTCCCTGGCTAGTGCAGCAGGACACTCACACCATTGCTTGGTTTTGTTTTTTGTTTTTTTTTTTTTTGCTTTTGTCTCCTCTTGGGCCTTGAGCCTTCTTTGTGCTGCAGTTGAGCTTGAGCCACTGACCTCCAGGCCTCAGAGGAAGGGGAATGAAGGACCCCTTAGCTAATCTCCCACCCTCAAGCCCAGCCCCCTTCAGGCACAGCGAGGGGCCTTCTGGGTGGAAATGGGACTGCCCAGCCCCGACACACTGTCTGTAGCTGTCGCCAACCACTTGCAGAGGCGAGCCCTGCCTGTGGTCCCACTGCAGTGTCCAAAGTGGCTATTTGTGAGGCCAGTGGGAATTCTGAGTTCGTAGGCTCATGGGGACTGATGATGAACAAGAAGCCAAGAAACCTACAGACCAAATTTGGAGTTGAGAGCCAGTGGTAGGAGGATGTTGGAGAATCTGGGGGTGAGGGCATGTGACCAGGTGCCCGTGAACTGGAGCCCATGGAGGATCAGACATTCTCAGTGCTCAGAGGGCCTCTTTGAGGGTTCCTGTGCTCAAAGCCTGGCCCGAAGGTGACCACACACATCTCGCCAAGTCCGATATATTTTTTGGCCCCACTGCAGGGCCTGACACCCAGCAGGTTCAGGCTGTGGTGATGGCCAGGGCTGGAGAGAATCTAGAGCTCACTGGCTTTATGGGGGTACCCTTCATCCCAAACCAGACCTCCCCAGGCCAATAGAGTGAGGCCTAAGCCATCTTTCAAGACCCAGCCCAGATCACAATACAGCCACTCCTTCCTTCAGTTGCCCCTGGGCACTGAGCTGGGCCCTGGGGTAGAGATCAGGGTGGGCCCCAGGCCTGCCCTAGTGAATCTCCCAGCCCAGTGAGGGGCAGGATGGGGGCAGAGTGGCACGGGTGCTGACTCTACAAAGCTGTAGGACCATACACTAATCCTGTCCCAAGGGTACCCAAGCAGCTTTGTGGAGGTGTAGCCCAGGCCAGGCCAGCTGGAGGGAGAGCGGGGAGGAGGTGGAGGCTGGCAGGGGTCTTAAATGCAGAGACCAGATCTGGTGTGGCAAAGGGAAGGGGCTTGAAGCGGAGGGTGAGGGGCTTGACATGATCAGACTAGCACTGTAAAGAGGCCACTCCAGGGTCCCAGGAGGAAGAGAGATTGGAGGGGCCAGGGTGAAGGTGGGAGGTGGGTAGTCCCTGCTTTGATTGAGCCCAGGTGGCCTTGCTGCTCTCAGTCACCTTGGGGTTGACCCTGGCTTCTGACTCCAATGTAGACCAGGAGCCCGTGGAAGGCCAGGTCAGTGGGCTGCTCATCTCGGTCTCTCCTGGGACCTGGCTGAGACCTGATGCACTAGAGATGACCAGAGGGAAATGGAAGGGCTGCCAGGGACTGGGCCTCTCCCCACATGAAAGCAGCTCTGCTCTCCACCTGACTGCTCCCGTGATAACGATGATGACAGGATAAGGCCCCTGGCCGCTGGCCCTACTCTGCCCCATCTAAAGCACTTGGGGATATCACAGGCAAGTAAAACATACTTTCTCACTGGCGTTTCTTGTTACATCAGAGGAAAAAGGAACAATCGTTGCCCCAGCCTGCCCAAACTCACGCCTCTCTCTCAATGCCTTCCTCCTCCTTGTCATCCCCCTGAGCAATTCCTTCTTAAAGACCTAGCTCAAATGGAACCTCATCCAGGGGGCTGTTGTGGATTGCATTGTGTCCCCCAAAAGATATGTTGAAGCCCTAACCTCCTGTACCTGTGAATGTGGCTTTATTTGGAAATAGGGTCATTGCAGATGTGATTAGTTAAGATGAGGTCGTACTGAAGTAGGGTGGGTCCTGATCCAAAATGGCTGGCATCCTTATAAAAAGGGGACATTTGGACACAGACACACAGAGGGAAGACAGCTATGTGAAGACAGAGGCAGAGATTAGAGTGATAGATCTACAAGCTAAGAAATGCCAAGGATTGCTGGAATTACCAGAAGCTAAGATGAACGCCTGGAACAGATCCCCCCAGAGCCTTAGGAGGGAGCGCACAGCCCTACTGACACCTTGATTTAGGACTTCTGGCCTCCAGAACTGTGAGATGATACATTTCTGTTGTTTAATCCACCCAGTTTCTGGTACCTTGTTATGGCCACCCCAGCAAATTCATACAGGGGCCTTCCAGCTTCTCCCCCTCTGCAGCCCCCCACCAGCCCTGCCACCTCTCCAGACCCCCAATCACAGATAGTTCTAGTCCAATCTGAAGTTCTCAGCTAAGCTGAGAGCTTCTAGAGTCCAGGAACACTCATCCAGTGTGGCCCCAGCTGCCTGTGGGAACGCCAGTGACAGTGGCCTCTGCCAAAGAGTGTACGACTCATCCCGCTAAACCAAGGAGAGTGGCAGGGGAGGGAGGAGGGATACCTTCTTCTCTTGTGCCCACAGCCACGTGTCCCTCAGAGGCCAGCAGGTGGCAATATTGGTCTCTTTCTTCACGTGAAGAGGGCCCTGCAAATCAGCAAGCCTGTAGTGGGGAACACTGGATGATACCAGCACCCAGGCACTGCGTGAAGGACTTTATATGCATTATCCCATTTAGTATTTGGGACAGCCTCAGGAGGTAGGTATCACTACTCCCTATTTTACACATGAGGACCCTGAGGCACCGAGAGGTGAAGTGACTTGCTCAAGGTCACACAGCCAGTATAGGGCAATGCCAGGGTTCTGCCTTGTGCCAGAAGGTGTGCTTTTACTCACTGCTCTCCAGCTACTCTGCCAGGCAGCATGCTGGGCACAGCCTACAGGCCTTGCCCTGGTCGGGTGAGGCAGAGAGGCAAGGAAGCTTGACCAGTTCTGGGATGGAGGCAGCAGCCAGGCCTGGGGGCCCTCAAGCAGGCAAGCTTCTCTGGTAGAGGGTATCCCAGTGAGCTCAGTTTTAAAGGTGGGCAGGAGTTGTCCCACAACAAGAGGGGAAACATGAGATGAACCCAAGAAACCAGGCCCCAGGGTACATGGAGGGAGAGTCCCTCCCACTGGTGAGCAGTGTCGGGTTGGGGTTGACGGTGGAGACAAGTAGCTCAGATGTGGACGCTTGCAGCTGAGGGGCCTCTGGGACACCCAGGCAGGTCTGGAGTCTGGAGCAGGATTGGAGTTCCAGTGGAAGGAAGGAGGAACCTGCTGAAGAGCCCTGAGGACACAGCCTGTGTGCATCCTTGTGCGGCACTCTTTCTGGCCCACAATTTCAGCCCTCCCTGAAGTCCCTACAGAGTTTAGCACCTAAGACAGGGTTGCCCCTCCTGGTTGGCCTGCTGCATGAGGCAAGGAGCTGACCTTCAGGCTTGAGCCAAGGGGGACGGGGCAGGGGCAGGCTTGGGAAGGGGGCAGCTCCGGCAGGGCAAAGCCTGGGGACAAGGCTGTGATATTCTCCTGTTCCACTCCGCCATAAACCAGCTTTTTCTGAGGTGCTGCGTGACCCAGGGTTTGGTTGAGTCACCCCCCCCCCCACCATGGGGCTGGGCTCCTTCAAGGGCACAGCCAGACCTGGATTTCTCAGAGAGCCAGGCAGACAGGAACTGGGCATGGGGAACTGATGGTGGCTGCCTGACCCAGTGAGGAAGGCTGCCCAGGACCAGCCAGCAGCTCACCTGGAAGCTGCCTGGTGAGTTCCAGCTATTTTGGGACTGCAGAATCTGAGAGAAGCAGCACTGTGAGAAGCATCCTGCTGAGCCTCCCTGACAGCACCTACCGCACACTTCTGATGAGGGCACTCCTTCCTTCCCACTGCAGGTGCCCCATTGTGAGACATCTCTGGTATCTGGAACATTTCATAATCTGGTCCCAGTTCTGTTTCCTGGGGCCTCACAGGCAAGTCTGATCTCGGACCTCTGGCCTCCAGAACTGTGAGACAATACATTTCTGTTGCTTGAGCCACCAGTTTGGAGTACTTGTTACGGCAGCCGGAGCAGACTAAGACAGCCACCTTGTTATGACAGCCACATGATGAGTATAAAATATCCCCCCAAATTTTCTGGAATAAATGTTAAAATCCCTCTCATTGCACAACCTAATTCTCCTCCTATGTCCTCTTTTAAAAAGCATCTGAAACTATTCATTCCTTTTTTTTTAAAAGGGAAATAAGGAGAAATCAGAGATGTATACTGTTTTGGGCTGAATTATGTCCCCTCCAAAATTCATGTTGAAGCCCCAACCCCCAGGACCTCAGAACATTCGGAAATAGGGTTGTTGCAGATGTAACTAGTTAAATGAGGTCATAATGGAGTATAGTGGGGCCCTAATCTAATCTGACTGGTGTCCTTATAAGAAGAGGAGATGAGGACACAGACACGCACAGAGGGAAGACCGTGTGAGGACACAGGGAGAAGATGGCCATCTACAAGCCAAGGAGAGAGGCCTCAGAAGAAGTCAACCCTGCTCACACCTTGATCTCAGACTTCTAGCCTCCAGAACTGGGAGAAAATACACTTCTGTTGTTTAAGCCATCCAGTCTGTGGTCACTTGTTATGGCAGCCCCCATATCCCAGCAATCACTGAGTCCCATCATTGCTGCTTTGTGAAGGGCTCTCAAATCTTTCCATTTGTTCAAAATTTCTTACAGACAAAAGTTCAGACAAACAAGGAGGATCAAGGGAGGGAGGGAGTGAAGAGGAGGGGCATCCCAGGCAGAGAGGCCTCGGCCACCTCCTCCCCAGCCCAGCAGTCCTGCTGCTCTGGCCATGGCCTGGGTCTGGCCTTGCACTCCTGGCTCCCTCTGGGCAGAGAAGTTCTGCAGCCTCGCTCTTCTCCACCAGTCTGTGCTGCAGCAGGCAGTCCTGTCTCCCTCCCGGCATGGAGGAGGTGGCCCTGAGGACCATGGTCACATACAAATGGTTGTGGGGCTTGAGTTGGGGAGGGGAGTAGGGGGCTTGAAGTGACATTACAAGAGCCAGAACAGCCCCAGAGCCCCTGAAAGTGACCTGTAGGGTCAGGTGCTCTGCCCCTCTGTCCTTGAGGTCTTCCAAGAGTGTCAGAGGCACAGCTCTTAGCAGATCTGGATTAGGCAAAGCTCCCAATCCAGGCAGGTGCTTTAAACAGTGACAACAGGGTGGTGACGCTCTCGGCAGGACTTAGCACAATTCAGCACAAAGTACAAGGAGGTATTGATTGTTCTTCATCCGCAGACAAGAGAGCACCATTATCTGCCCAGACACTCAGGGCTCAGAAATCAGGGCAATTCAGGGCCCCATCCAGAGTGAGATCACCAGCACTCAGCCTGCCCCTCCCCTGTCACTCTACTGCCAGACTCTCCCACCTGACCGGCTTATAGGCCAGAGCCAGTTGTCGGCACCCACCTGGGCTCCCAGCTCCCAGGCTAGGTAGACTCGGTGTGCGCTCAATCTACATGCCCAAGACACTTTGGCTCTGCCTCCATCCACACTGGCAAAGAAGACAGCTGTGAGCAGCGCTGGGGACTGTGAGTCCCCGTCCCTGGCAGGAGGCAGAGCACAGCATTGGCAGGTTGAATCCGGCCAACTTACGGGAGAACTGTGAACAGGCCTAAGAATGGCAGGGCTGGTGTCCCGGCAGTAGGCCATCTCCAACCCCACAGTTGGTACTTTTTCTCAGGATGCTGTGGCCACCACTGGGCTCAGTGGTCAAGGGTTAAAGTGACACAGATAAACACTAAACAGACAAGAGCGACCCGCTCTTTCCCTGGAGGCCAGGTTATTTTTCTCCTTGTAGCCCTAGGACATCCAGCCAGACAGGCCCTTACTGATTTCTGTGCCCCATTCTGTCACTGGGCACATGGAGACACTGACCCTGAGGCCATGCACAGATGAGTGACTGATTACCTGCTCGATCCAGGAGTAGATCTTGCCAGAGCAGGTGGGTCTTGGCTCTTCTCAGAAGGCCCATCCTCATCCAGAACCTCAACCCTTTGGGCAAGAAGAGAAACAGATGACTGTCCCGGGGTGCTCACGGCCTGCTCAGCTGCCCTGGAGCTTGCTCCCCCTGAAGGACATGCTTTCTTTCAGTGGAGTCTATGGCCATGAGGTAGCCCAGGCTGGGGGCCCAGCAACTCCAGCTTGGGATAAGGACAGCATACTGGATTGAATAGGGTCCTCCCAAAATTCATGTGCCCCTGGAACCTGGGAATGGGACGTTATTTGAAAATAGGGTCTTTGCAGATGTGATTAGTTAAGATGAAGTTGTACTGGAGTAGGGTGGGCCCTAAATCCAATGACCAGTGTCATTATAAGAAAAGGGAAATTTGGACACAGACACATAGATAAAAGAAAGGTCATGTGACGGTAGAAGCAGAGATGGAGTGATGCGTCTACAAGCTAAGGAACGCAAGGACTGCCAGCCACCACCCGAGGCTGGGAGAGAGGTCTGGGACAGCTTCTCCCTCAGAGGCCTCAGAAGGAACTAACCCTGCCCACACCTTGACCTTGGACTTCTGGCCTCCAGAATTGGGAGACAATACGTTTCTGGGGTTTATGCCATGCAGTTTGCAGTACTTTGTTATAGCAGCCCCAGGAACCTAATATAGCCAGTAAGAGCACACCATTATCTGTCACTTCCTTCATGCTGCCCCCACCCTCTGCTGGCTGTATTCCAGTCAGCCTTTCTGATCTTCCCACCTCTGGGCCTTTGCACCAGCTGGGCCCTCTGCCTGGAACACTAAGCATGCTAGCTCCATCCTGTTTTTCAGTCCTCATCTCGCTATGCCACATCATGAATGCCTTCTCTGTCTATCCAACAGAATACCCCTAAATCCAACTTTTTAGAAGTTTCTTTCCTGTCCTCCCCAAATGTTCTCCTCTCCCAGAAGATGTCCTGTCTCAACTAATGGTGACACCCCTCCCTCACTCAGCTAGAATGTCCTAATGTCCTGATCATTCCCTGTTGAACCCTGTTCACCCTTTAGGGCCCATCTCCAATGTCATGGTTACTTCCAAGGGCCTGGCCAGGCAGGGGCTCCCAATGACAAGCGTCTGGGCCCCAGCCCAGTGATCCTTCCTGCCAAGGCATTGTCCAGCCCATCCCCAGTAGGGTGGGAGGGAGGGCAAGGAAACAACTCCTTTGTACCCCGGTAGCTACTTTTGCTTCAAAACCTCAGAGGCCTTTGGAGACACTACAGCTCCATCTTGGATCAGGGGTCTAGCCCTGTTAGCCATTGGCAAATGGACGTTTCTGGCCACAAGCTGTGTTCTCTCAGCCAGGCTCCTGCCTATACAGAACTGGCTACCAGGGCCACATGTGCCACCACAGGCACCCAGATGCTCACCTGGCCTCTTGACAGAAGATACCACCCCCTCACAACTACCACTGCTCAGGGACAGCGGCCCTATCCCACCCCAAGCATGCTCTCCCCAGTGCCCACACCCCACCCCTGCTGACAGGAGGCCTTCTCTGTGGCCAGCAACAGTCTTCCAAGGCTTCCCCTGCTGACACTTACCTCTTTGCAATGAATGGGGCCTGTGTCTCCTGGGCAGGGCTGCTAGAAAGGAGACAGAAAGGCGACGTGTTGGGCAGAACCCGTGGACAGGTGACATGATGACTACTCTGCCTCAGAGGGTCCTGGGCCTCTCTCTTATTCCCAACACCTTGCCTGCCCTGATAGCAGCAGTCAGACCTCTCAGTTTTCCAGAAAGTACATGTGAGAATCCCAGAAGGTCCAGCTGGGAGGGCCCTCTCAACCCACCCCTCACCAGCCAGAGGAAGACGGGAGCCCTGAGGGGAAGGGAACTGTCCCAGAGCATGAAGCAACTCACCTGGGGCTCTTCTTGGCCGCTGACAGGACGTAGGAGTGCTCCCGGGAAGCTGTCTTCCTCACCACACTGCTTGCAGCCTCTGACCTGGGGTGGCACAGGGAGGGGGCATCTGATGGCGTAGGGTGGGACTCGCTCTGCCAGCCGAGCCTGGCAGGGACTCAGGATGGCTCAGGGCCACCCCAGGGAGGCAAGGGGGTGAAGCCTGATTAGTGTCTGCTCTGAGGACAATTCAAAGGAAATGCAGAGACCAAGGGAAGGGCTGCGGGGCCAGCCCTGCACTGGCTGCTGCCAATCCACACTGCCTCATTGACTCCTTACTATCCAGGAAGGTAGGGGCCAGTATCACCCATGATTTCCAGCTGAGAAAACTGAGGCATGAGGAGCTTTAGTGACTTGCCTGAGACCACACCCCCAGCCAGTGGCAGAGCAGGCAGTCAATGCCCGGCAGCCTGGCTCTGGAGATCCTGGCTCATCCTCTGCAGCTCCCAGGCCCGGGGCCCTCTGCCCTTAGGATTGCCCATCTGCTGGGCCTTCCACACGGGGGCTTTGCTGTGTTTCCTAAGCCATAGAGGGGCCAGCAGATGTTGGGACTGGGGGCAGGCTGAGCCCAAGGGGGCTTCATTTCCTCAGGGCCCCACTGTGGGGCGAGGGGCATTGTCACCTCTGGAGCCTGGCCCTGCCCCCCAGGCACACACAGCACACACAGAGGGCTCCTCCAATTTGCTCAGGACCCTTTTTAACAAACTGATCTAAAGTCCTGAAGCACCTCCCTCCCCACCCTCTGTCCACCCACAGATGAGGCTTCCCCTAGACCCTTATGACCTAGGTTCTTCCCCATAGAAGGTTCATAAGAGGGTCCCCTGAGCTGGCCCAGCACTGCATGGGTGCTTCTGGGACTCAAAGAATGACACCTGTTGCCGGCAGCCACTCCTCCAGCAAACACGCCAGTGCTGATGTATTCTATATGTTGTGCATTTCGTCACCCCCTCTGGCACAATTTCTATTTCACTGGTCTGTGGAGACCTGAGACCCTGCCCTGCCCATGGGATGCCCGGCAGGCGCTGTTACCTCCGTTTCTGCTCATCAGAAGAGAAGGGCACCTCCTCCTCTTCAGCGGCCCCTGATGCTGAGCTGCGCCTGATGTTGTAGGGTGCCCTGGGGGAGGGGGAGGGGTTGAGGACGCTGGCGGTTATGGCCCCTCCTCCCCCTACCTCTGCCTCTGCTACTTGTCATAGGCTGCTACTCTCAGCAGCTTAGCTTCCTGACTTATAAAAATAACACACATTGGCATCGCTGCCACTTCTTCCTCCTCGAGAACCAGCCTTCCTCTCTCTCCTTGTTCCAACCCTAACTGTCCCCCAAGACCCAGTTCAAGCCTCACCCCTTCTCCAGAAAGACTCCCTAGCTGCTCTGTGTCACTGGATGATGGTGACAAGGAACAAGCAATATAAAAGTGTAGGGCTCCTGGGAACTGTGGACACAACCAACACCTCTGTCCAGAGCCCCTCTCCATGCGCATGCAGGAGGGGGCCTTTGAAAGGGGTCAAAGGGGGAGCTCCAGAGGGAACCCCAAAGATTTATATCCAAGAAGCAGGTCAGATTTAGGCACAAAATGCCTATAACTGATAGGCTGTCAGGGCCAGCAGCAGGCTTAGGATCATCAGGCCCCAGCCCAGCTTGGCCCAGCCCAGAGGGTACAGAGCCATGCCCAAGAAACACAGCCATGACGCTTTCTCCAGACCCACCAGCCCCTTCTACAAGCTTCTTACAGCCCCTGCTTTGCCTTCGATCAGAAGTGCAATGTGCACAGCTGTCCAACTTTCTGGGGCTTGTCATCCTCTGGTAGGCTCCCGGCCACAGTGGCAACTGGCAGGGATATCAGGCCAGCAAGACTTGCACTGCCAGGCCATGCTCAGAGGCAAGCAGCCAGATGCCCTCAGCGGGCCTGGTGTTTGGGCTCGTCCCTTGGAGGAACTGAGCTGAGTCTGTGACTGCATACTTACAGCTTCTTGTAATCCTCAGTGGTCATCTTGTAGCCAGAGGAGGAGGGGTGGGGAGGCCTAGCTGGAGCTGCTCTCACCAGACCTGCAGTGCTGGAGAGGCAAGGAGATTCCATATGCCCACCTGCAAGCCCCTTCTTGCTTCCAGATTTGCCCACAAGGCCCAGCAGGTACGTGGCAGGTGGATGAGGGGGCACTAGTGGCCTTTCCTCTTTGCTCTCAGCCCTGCCCGACACCTGGAACATCTGCACCACCCTGAGCAGGGCAGCATCCTACCATAGGCAGACCCAGCCCCTGGGGCCCTGCCTTCCTGATGGACCCCAGCTGCAGCCTGACGCCAAGGTGCCGGGAGAAAGCAGACTAAAGCATGCAGCTCGGCACAGTCAGTCAGCAGGTCAAGGCTGTGAGCCCCTCCCAGCCTCCTCCCTGCACCTCTGCTCCAGTGACCAGGGCTACTCAGGACTGGCCTAAGGGCCAGGGCACCAGTAGTTGCCCAGGGTCTCCCAGAGGCCTGGCTGCTGGGAGACCAGAGTGCCCTAACGGAGCACGCATCTGCCTGGGGGCTCCTGCATTGCTCTCCAGGGCCCTGCCCTACGTAGGAAGAGAGTTGCCACCCACCACCCCTCAGTGACAGGAAGAGTGCTCTCTGTGCCGTGAGCTTGGCCAGTGCTGCGCAGACAAACCTTTTCGGAGCTCTGTTGGCCTTGGGGAAGTGCTGCTGGGGCTGGGATGAGCTGTCTATGGGCTTGGTGAACACTCCCCTAAAAGAGAGCCCAGAATAAGCAGCCCGGTGAGCTCCCCTGGGAGAAGCCAGGGGCTGGTGTGGGCAGGTGTGGGGAAGCAGGCACAGCAGGGGAAGCAGGTCCTGTTGTCACCTACCGGATGATATAGCCAGTGGGAGCTCTTGTGCTCGGAGGCCTGCCAAGGGAAAAGAAGGGATGAAGTGAAACGAGGCCTCGCTGGAGGGCCCAGGCTACCCTACTTTCTCCTGCTCCCGGTGACAGCAAAGCGGGTTGGCTAGTGGGTGTCCCAGTGTGGTCAGAGCAAGGGGCGCAAGAGCAGCTAGCTGGGCTGCCAGTTCTGCTCTGCTTGTCTCCCTCATGCTCCTCAGGAAAAGTACCCGTGGCTGATTCTTCTGGGGCCAGCCTGGCCCGGCTCTTGCTCACAGCAGGTGCCCAGGAAGGTGTGTTCCATGGCTTGACATTTGCTGCAGAGGTGTCCCCTCCAAAGTCTGGCTTCTCCCTGTCCTGCCAGGCCCCAGCACTCCTCTGAGCAAGAGCTCTTCTGGAATTGCTGACAGCCTCCCAGCCTCTACTCTCAGAGCTGATCCAGCTCAGGCTGGAGGCTCCATGGTCAGAGGCCTGGGGCTGAGGCCATGGCCTGCTCCCTGCCCCCCACAGCCTCCTCCAGGAAGGTTCATGAGGGCCCAAGGGGCAGAGCCCAGGCATGAGCCAACCAAGGCCAACCGCCCCTCCCTTCCCACTCTTCTGGGGACTCCCTCCTCCAGCTCCTGGGACACCCAAATCCCAAGTCTTGATGGAAGTTTGGAGAGCATAGCCAGGGCTTGGTCAGTGGCTGGAAAACATTAGGCTCCATATGCTAGATGCCTCCTGCTTGGGAGCCACCAAGCAACCGAGAGGGCTCTGAGTACTTGCGGAGGATGGGGGGACAGCCAAGAGCTGACAGTGCGGGGCAGCCATGGCCGTGAGTTCCGGGCTCAGGGGTAGGAGACAAGGACTTGGCAGATGGCCCTTCTGTCCAGGAATAGAGGAGCTTGGGGACCTCACGCAGGCAGGCAAGAAGGGGAGCGCAGAGCCTCAGTGTTCTCCATCCCCACAGAGCCTGTCCTTAACAGTGGACAGCCTCCTGGAGGTGACCAAGTTGCAGGAACACTTGGGGTAGGACCTGGGAAATGAAGGTCACTTATCCCTCTTCTAGCCACACAAGCACTTGTGACTGAAATACCTATGGCCTGAGGAGGCTGGGCCATGGCCCCTGGCTGGCTCTGGACCCTTTCTGGGAGACATGAGACCCAAGGTTTATGTATACTTCCAGGCACTCCTGCTCTGGGCCCTGAGTCACAGCATCCCAGAATGTGCTTTCCAAATTCACCCCCAAACCAAAGCCCACAGTGAGAACTGCATCCCCCCTAAAGTAAACAAGCCCCCTAACGTGTAGACTCTCTTTGAACTGTCCTCAGGCCCTTGCCAACCTTGCCAACTGCAGCTCTCGGAACCCGCCACTCTCTTTCTTGTTCATCTCTCTACTTGGCTCATGCCCCTGCTCCCTGCCAGGATGTCAGTCCCCTGAGGAGAGGGCTGTGTCCTTTGTGTCCAGCACAGGACCTGGCAGGTAGTGGGCACTGAGTCACTGAGGGATGATGCGCAAGGCCATAGTTACTGGAGGCAGCCCCTGTGCTAGGAGTGAACTTGGTCCCTCCTTTCCTGCTGCTGCCACTGCTTCTACTATCACCTGAGGAAGGCTCGGGCCCTGTGCTCACTGCCAGCTGCCAGCTGCCGGCTGTCTGGAGCAAGAATCAAGCCTGCACTTTGAGGTCCCCATCCCCTTACTCCTCAGCAGCAGTTCCTCCAGATACAGGCCGGAGGTGTTCGTGCTTCAGAGCCTCTCTGGACACCACTATGCAAAAGTCCTTGAAATAGAGAGGGGATGGGCTGTTCCCCTCAGCCAGCTGTCAAAATTTGTCATCCTGAATTGGGAGACAGTTGGAGCAAACGTGTGAGTCTCCCCCGGCACGCTGATTACCAAGTGCACTCAGCAAGCAGGGTACCTACAGGAGGGAGTCATGTGTGACTCTGAAGCCACCCAAAGCACCTCAAAGACATGGTCTCACTCTCTGCATGGGGAGTCTCAACGACAATTTCGATCCCAGTTGACAGCTGGAGCCATGGAGGCCCAGCAGGGAAGGCAGTCAGCCCCAAGGCCACACAGCAAGGCCCGGGACCTGGATCCTGTGAATCCTGCTTCCCCTTCCCAAGAGAGAGCAAAGCGGGAAAAGCCCATCCTCCCTGTGGATTTCAGATGACTCACTGCAGACCCTGATATACCTTCTCGGCTCAGGCTCCCTCCCCCTTCCCTGAGGACTTCAGCAAGAGGCCCGCCCACCAGCCATCTGGGCACCACCTCTTACCTGGCAGCTGATGACAAAGATGTGGCACGGCTCCGGCCAGAGGGCAGCTCGCTGGGGAAAGAGGGGTCCCAAAAGAGTGGCTCTCAAGCTCCCTGCCATCTGCCACCCTGCAGCCTCCACCCTAGAGGCTGTCTGCGGGGCCCCAAGGCAGGTGAGGTGGGGTGCAGTATATGCACACCAGGAACTTGGCCCACCGTTGCCGTCTCCCCTTCTCCTTCTCCAGCCAGCCTCTACACCCCACAGGCATGTGCCGCACCTGGGGCTTTCCCACCTTGTGACTTTGGTCAAGTCTCGCCCTCTCCTGGATTGCTTTCTCATGCTCTGCCCTCCCCAGCTGGCCTGAGGCCACATGGCCTGGCTCAGCTCTGAATGGTGGAAGCCCCTCGGCATCTCCAAGTATGGACAGGCCCCCGTGGATCACAACCCCGTCCCCACCCCATTGCTGCCAGTCCTCCTGGCCTCGTGGACTTACAGGGTACGACTCTCTGATTCATCCTGCTTGGTGATCCAGCTCTTGTCCCCCTTCAGCGTGGTTCGCACCTTCATCTGCTTGAGGACATTATTGCGTTCCTCCTCCCCCGGTGGGAGAGGCTTCCCTGGAGGGGGCAAGACCAGACAGCCTCAGAAAGGAAGCCCAGCTACAGGATCCTGGGGCCTCCTTTCCAGCCCTCCCAATATGCCGTTCTCACTCTGCTGCCCAGGCAGTGCTTGTGGCCCTTGCAGGGCAGGCCTGGAAGAAGGCAGCCACGTGCCGAGCCCGGCACAAGAGGGAGCCCAGGCCTCACCTTTGGTGCTGCCTCCAAGAGCTGAGATGCTCATGGCGTTTGCTCTGCAGGTCCCTTCTCAGTTGATTCAAGAGGGCTCCTGGGGGCAAAGGCAAGCACATGGCTTGTCACTTCATGCATTTATAATGGTTTGTGGGTCACCACGTGGTCCCTGGCACACCAAGACCATCCAGACTGTCTGTTTGGGCATCGGGAAGCAAGAGTTGGTGGAGTCCTGGGTGGTGAGCAGAGGCCAGGGAGCAAGCACTCGCAGGATGTGCCACTACTGGATGGCACACCTCCCCTTTCTGCCCAGGGCCACTCTCCTGGGGAACACGGCCTGCACTGCCAAGGGATGTCTGTTCAAGAGATGGCCGAGAAGGGCAGACCATAAGCCCTCCTAGAGAACTCTGATGGCTGGACTGTGGGCCCTGGTGAGTGTGGGGGAGAGAGTGGCAGCAGGGGAGCCTCCAAAGTGCCATGCAGACAGACAGCAGGCTCCCTTGGGGCCAGCATGGTGCACTCAGGAGGGACTGGGGTAGGGCAGAGGCTGGGGGACCAAAAGCTTTGGGGTTAGCCCATCTTTCTTACTCCTTAGTAGCTGTCTGACAGACCTTGGGCCAGTTAGCTAACCTCTCTGGGCTGCCTCAGTGCCCTCATTTGTAAAATAGGAGTTAAAAAAATCTACCCATCAGGACTGCTGTGAAGACAAAATGCACCAGTGTTCTTGCAAGTGCTGAGAACCACCTGGCACAGCAAAGATCGCAGGGCAGTTGGATAGGAGCCAAGCAGCAGTGACTCTCAACCTGCCCTCACTGGGAGAGGGGACTGTCGGTGGTCCTCAATCAGGAAAGCACAGGCTGGGGGTGTGCAGGCCTGTGTGGTTCAGAGCTTGGCTCCATCTCCAGTGGGGAAAGCCTGGAGCCCCACTGCCAACTCCTAGTGACCCTCAGGGACCGCACAAGGGTGGGCATCTAGGAAGCGAGGGACAGTCTGTGCTCTGCTTTCTCTTCCTTTCTCTGCCTTCTCGCCCTGCTCTCCCTCCTGGCCTCCTCACTGCCCTCGAGCCAGATGCTGCCCTCCTGTGGCCAGTGAGGGGTGGGCCGTGGTGTTAGTGAGGTCTCTGAGGCCTTCACAGCACCATGAAGTCTGTTTGCCCCAGGAGGAGCGGGCGTGAGGAAGCTGGCTCTCCAGGCTGCAGGGAGACGGAAGGCCCATGTCGTGGGTCTAGTTGCAGCCCTGAACCACCACAGCCGGCCCCTTGGGCGTCAAGCGAGGCACTGGAGGGTGAGGGGAGTGGGCACGATAGGGAGCAGGGGCCTGGGATCTGCTGGTACAGTCCTGAGGCAGAGCAGCCTCCCTCTTAGGGGCCTGCCACCCTCTGGGCCCCTCCAGGGCCAGGCCCTGAGCAACCAGGCCTTGCTGCTGACTGGCAAGGCCTGGACATGTTTCCATGGAGGTCAGGGGCACACTAAAACAGGCAGGACAGGGGGCCAAGATCAAAGCAAATTTGCCACGTCAGCAAGAACTTTCCCATAAACTGCACTGAACGAGCAGCCCAGGAGGCCCGAGCCCGCTGTGTGCCAGGAACAGCACCTCATCACCAGGAATGGAAGCCCCACATGCCCAGCCCCTGCACCAAGGCTGCCACATCAGAGTTCATTCCACAGGTGATCCTCAGACTGTACAGGCCCAACTGTCCTGTCCCAGCAGCCCATGAAGTGGTCCAACCGGGCGGGTCACACAGACAGAGTCTCCACCTGAGATCTTGGTCCCTCGGCCTCCTGGTGCTGCTGACTGACTGGGAGACCTTGGGCAAGTCCCTCACCTCCTCTGGGCCTCAGCTCAAGACCTTCTACTACTTGGTCTTTAGGTTCCTTCAGGAACTCATCTGTTTCCCTTGACAAACCTGTTGGCCACGTTGCCTAGAAGTTTTCTGTCAAATCAGAACCAAATAAGCCACTTCCAAAATTATGACAGACTTACTCACATGCAGAATGACAGAGACAGAGGGACCATTGGCAACTCCCAGGCCAAAGGGGCAGAGACACACACAAGAGCCCACAGCAAGGGAGGGCGCAGTTGGCATGGAACCCCATGCTGCCTCATTTCTTTAGTGTCAGAAGACTCAGGGCTTACGTTCTACCTCACCAGGCAAAGACCAGGAATGCCGATGCTTCATCTCAAAAATCAAATGTCTTTTTTTGATGGGACAATTAATCTGAAAGAATCAGGCAGAAGCATCTTCCCAGGGACTGAAGAGGAAGGCAGCTCTTTGGGACAAGGAGCCTTTCAAGTGATGAGTCCCAGCCAGACTGATGGACACGTGAGATTTGAATCTATGTCCCAGCTAGACACCTGGCTTCTTCCTCCATTCTACCACTCCCTCCTCTCCCGCCACACCCACAGCCCCGTTTCAGGCCACAGTCACTTCTGACCTCCTCTCTGGTCCACCTGCTTTCATCTGTGCCTCCTTCCAGCAGCACTCATCGGCCCCTAATCCCACTTGGCCCATATCAGCCCTGGCTTCTCACTCAGCTTCCGCCAGCTCTGCACTGTCTCTAAGACTGGGGGCAAACTCCCCAGTGCCCTGATGCAGCCACTTTTCTCACCAACCCCCTCAATGTCAACACTGTGCTCCAAGTAGATCATGTGCCTCAGCATCCCTGGAAGGTGGCCTTTGCTTATGCTGGCCCCTGGGATGCCATCCAACTCCTCCTACTGAGCTAAGCCCTGCCCCTCCCTCAGGGCCTTGCCTGTCCTGCCTGCCCCTACTCCTCCTGGGGTCTCCCTTCATCTGACCTCAGCACTTTGGTACTGTTAACCCAAGTCTCCCCAGACAAGACCTGCCCCCTCCACCAGCCTCAGTGAGGACAGAGCCCAGGTACCCCCCTAGCACCCCCAGCACACAGCCCACATTGACTACCTCTGCTGCTGGGCTGGAGGCTGGCAGGGGCCATGCTTCTGATTTACCAAACATTGCCACCCCTCCTTGGGCCCAGTTCTCCTCTCAGACCCACCAACCTTCCCCTCACCTGACCCTTCTCAGAGAACAGGGCAGAATGGCCACCCAGTCAACGGGCAGCCAGGAAAACCCTCAGTGCAGACAGGAGCAGCTTTGGAGAATGGAAGGCAGACCACTCGGGAGGGCGTTTCCTGGGCAGACCTCACACACTGTTGGTGGGCATGTCAACTGGGGCATCTTTTTAGAGGACAAGTCTCCATGTGTATCAGAAGCCTTAAAGAGGGCAAGCCTTTTGATCAAGCAGTTCCCCTCGCAGCAATGTCCCCTAGGGAGAGAACTGGGTAAGTAGAACAAAGTGTACAAGAGGGGCATTATGCCAGTGCTGAGTGTGATGGCGAAAATTTGGCAATAATCTAAATTCCCAACAGTTGTATTTAAACATATTATGATCTATCACCATCCAAGCAAATACTATGCAGCCATTATCAATGATATTGATGGATACAATATTTAACAAGCCTTCACGTATATGGTTTCCATATATCATTAAGTGAAGGCAGCTTTTAAAACAAGATGCGCAGGATGGTGCCATTTACTTAAAATATATTTACATAAAAATGCACAGAGAAACATCTGAAAGGATATATATACTCAAGTCTTTTGCTCCTCTGTGTATTTCTAATTTTCCTATCATGAACACGTATTGCCTGTGGGATGAAGTGTAAACAATGGTTTAACCAAATGAAATGGGAGCTGAGGCTGATGAATAGCTAATGACGGGCCTCAAAAGTTGATGCCAGGTGAGCAGTGCTGAGGAGGGACAGAGAAGGGAGGAGAGTGAATGGATGCAGCAGCCCCGGGAATTCTTTCCCTTCTGCCGGCCAGCCAGGTGGACACCCCAGGGGCCAGGGGGATACCTTGGGCCTATAGGGATCTGCTGTGCCGCGCTGTGCCGCGCTGTGCGTTGCCGTGCCCAGGCACACACGGCCTCCTCCAGGAGCCTCCGTGCTCTTTGCCCGCAAGCTTAGGGTGGGAGGGAGAGCAGGCAGTGCGTTTCGGGTCTGATCTCAGACAGGAGGTCATAGCAGCAGCTGCCTCGGCAGCACGATGCAGGCAGAAGCACCCCCGGGAGCAGGAGGCCGGCTTCTGCTCTAAAACGCAAGGGGCACAGTACAGACAGAAGGCTGTACTTTGCACACGTGGGCACTGAAGGCCCCGCTCCCTCCCCCTGCTTGGGGAGAGCAGAACTCGGGCCAGGTGGGGAAGATTTCCCCACACACAGCCGGCCTGGCTGACTGTAGCCTCGGCCCTGACCTTCCATGGGGCCCCGGGACGTGAGTTGCCAGCAGGACACCAAGGCCAGCGCCCAGTCCAGGTGTCAGGACGCACAAGCCTGGCAGCAGGTCTGCAACCCATGGGCAGTAAGTATACCATTGTTCCTGCTTCATCGGGAGCACAGCAAACCCTCCGGAGCCCAGGAGGCCAGGCAACTACTGGCCCCAGGCCAGACATCCAACACCTCCAGAGGGTGGCCGGCACAGCCGGAATCTGAGCCCCGGCTGTGCAGTAGTCCTGCTGACCCCACACACGACACCATGTGAGTGCTCTTCAGAGCAAAGGGCCAGCGTCCAGGTGGCCCAGGCACACCACCACCAGCACCTGTCTGCTTCCTCCAAAGCTGAGCAGTTGGCCCCACCAGCCGACTCGCACGGCTGGAGGAGGGAACTCCCGGACTCGGGCCAGCCATACACAGAGTGCCTGCCTGGCTGCTACCGTCCAGCCACTACCGACTCCAAGCACCTGACCCCAGAACCCCTTCCAAGGAGGGCAGCCCACACCCCTGCAGGCCCCAGACTCACTATCCCCTCTTTGAACAACACCCTAAGATCTTTCACGCTCCAGGGCTGGCACCTGAGATGCAAGATGCAGACAAAATTCAAGAAGTCAAGGAAAGAGAGAAACTTCCCTGGGGCCCCTGCACCTCCTCACTCACCCCACAGAGAAGGTAGAGAGCCACCACAGAGAGGTGAGATGGACACAGGATCGCTGGAATGTTTCATCTCCAGCCACCTTTGAAACTGGGGCAGGAGACCTCCTGCCTGCCCAGGCCTTCCAGTCTTCCTCTTCCTCTGGGC